TACTGAGGAGAAGCCATTCAAATGAAACAAGAGGTCAGGTTTCAGGGGGTGAGTCTAGCTTTGAGATATCTGCTATCAGCAGGTTGACTGATATCTAGGAAGGCCACAATCAAAAGCAGAGCAAGAGAAGTAAACACACACAGGGCGTTTTCATGGAACATTCTAACCCAAACAGAGTAAAGGGATAATATCACAAAGGAACAGGTGAGCATAGCTCTATCCATGGAGCGACACGCCTATGTGTGAAGACACGTCCTCAATCTCCAGGACTAGGGCAATGTCCAGGTCACTATGAGATGTAGTGACAGTCAGAGCCTCTCCAGCTCAGGGAAAGAGAATGCAAAATCATTCAGATTGGCTGCCCACAAACATTAATTATATTAACACATGAAAAATGCACCATTATTTCTATGCCAAATTTTTTTTTCAAAAAAATTGAAGTTATTCATGAAAAAAACGTAAAAATAAAACAACCTAAGAATAGCATGAGTGTTTATCAGAATCAATACCAGCCAAGAGTTAAAGAACATATCAAAAACAAACAAACCAAATGTAAGAACATATAAAAAACAAACAAACCAAACCAGGATATTCAGAAAGTAAACGTAAGTGGCTATACAGTGACATGTTTAGAACATGGGCTTTACAGTCAGAAAGAGATAGGTTTCAGTTACAGCTCTGGCATTTATTACTTGATCTTGGATAAGTCATTAATCATCAGTTAACATTATCTGTCCTGATCCTAAGTACTCAAAAGATTTCAAAATATCAAGTTGGTTTTAGACAATCTAAGTAAATGTCAATGTCCATGGTACAGTACTACAGGTACAAAAGACAGAAGTTGCACACATATTAATGAGCCTAAAAGGTGTCCTGGAAGATGATTTTTTAAATATCTAGCAATGGTTTATTGATGCAGGTCATTAGTTACTTAGGTGAATAAAACAATTTTAAAAGCTATGCAATAGAAATGTCTAATTATATTAATTTTTAATTATCAGAATTCAAGTACACAACTGTTTATACTTCTTAATTTTTCCTCTTCTAAATTTGTATACTTCTTAACTCCATTAAAGGTATTAAGGAACCTAACTTTGCTCTTGTATGTACTTTTACCAAAATTTAAGTTTATATGAAGATAGGCTTGAATCCAAAAACTTTCAGATCTTATTTTGAAGCTTTAGCATTTTGGTGCATTGTGTGCCATGTAATATTCCAGTCCTGATCAATGTCAGATAACTGTCATTTGTATTTTCAAGGTGAAGTGCCTAAAAAGGCAATTCACATTTTATATGGTGTATCTGTCAAATGAAAGTTAATATAATAGCTGGTTATTTGAAGCAAAACATATTTTGAACTATTATAAGCAATCTAAAAGTGATAACATAAAAGCAACTATAGTATAAACAACTCTTAAATAAAAAGATTTGTACTTAGGAAGGTAGTTTGCATTGATATAACTTTTGGTCAAGAAAACTTACTCTTTCTATTGGAGAGAAATTGTTCTACTGAGGGAAAGTACCCGCTCCTTCCCACTACCAGCCCTCATTTTCCTTTCTACAAAGTGAGGATCATGTTTAATAAGTAATGTTACTGATAAAAATATTTTCCACATGAAATGACTATGGAGGGGATAATAACCATTATACTAAAATAAAACTCTTTATCAGGAAACTCTTTGATTTAGTTTTGAGAATTCTTCAGATTAAACCACATCCCCTTCAACATACAATGTATAACCTACTCTTATGATCCTACTCTAATCCAACTAGCATTGAAGAAGGTATATTCTGTACATTGTACATTTGATCAAAAATTTTCAAAGAATTCCATGACTACTGAATATGAGAATCATTGAGGACAGTAATATTCCCTCTTTAAAAAGGTACTAATTTCTACTATAATTTATAAAAGATAATGTTCAAAATAAAATTGACAGAATATCTTAATTGAACTAATCAAATCAAATAAAAGATTATAAATTCAGGACAAAAATATTAAAAGGAACAACTATATGAAGGCATTGGATAGTAAACAAAAAGACAGGCAGAGAAGAATCTAACTTTGAAAAATTAACTACAACTTTTGAATTTCTGTTTTCCTGAAGGTATTTCCCAATTCACAAGTAATGTAGAAAGCTTCAGTCTGGTTTGAGGTTAGTAGAAAAGACAGAAAGTGAGGAATAAAATCCCAGAAGAAAGGGAGCCCAAAAGGGGCATAGTGCATCTCCAAAATCCCAGCAGGCTGAGGCAGGAGGATTGCAAGTTCAAGGCCAGTCTCAGCAACACAGCAAGACACTGCCTCGAAATAAATTAACAAGGACTGGATGTGACCTGCTAAGAGCCATAGCCAAGTAGTATGATGCATGGCATTTTTGGTAGAAAGGTGACCCCCAGCAAGCCATTGAGATGATATGATTATGTTAAGATCTGCATTCATATGGATATTAGACCCCTGCTGTCCATCTTGGCCTGCTACTGGACTCCTGGAGAGTTCCTATTGGTTGGGGAAGTGCGGTAGGAGGAAATTCTGGAGGAGGGATTTCCTGTTGCCGGTCTGGGAGAACGCTGTGGGTTGGCATATTTCCCGGGAGCTTACAGGGCATTGGCCAGAGTTTCAAAAATAAAATTTGTTCCTGTTTGAGTGGCTCGTGATTTTGTGCCCAGCCAGACTGCGGCAGTGACCCTGTTTCAAAATACAATAACAAGGACAACTCAGTACCATGGGTTCAATCCCTAGGGCAAAGGAGGAGGGAAAGGAGTAGATGGAAGGAGAAAGAAGAGGAAGGGGGAGGAGGAGGAGGAGGAGGAGGCAGCAGCAGTGGAGGCAACAGCAAGAACAAAATTCTACAAATAAAAATGACCCAAATCCTTTGCTGACTATTAATGTTCATGGAAGAAACCCCAGGAATCCAGGGAAAAAGTCACAGTTGGAAACCAAAAGAACTAAGTAGAGAGACTATAGTTGCTGTCCACATCAGGGGAAACAAGAGACTAAGATCTGAATCCAGCCAGGTTAACTGCCTATTAGAACTACTTCCTTAGGAAAACATAATGAAATCAAGAGCCTTGATAATCTATTATTCATATCACCAATATCCGACAGAAAATCACTAGCTACAGAATATACAAAAAAAATATGATCCATATAATATTTAAAAAGCAGTCAATAGAAAATTAACCTGAGATAACCAAAGAGTTGCACAAAGACACACACTTTAATGTAGTTATTAGAAATATGGTCAAGACATTATAAAAGATGATTGTAAATCAGTACAAACACTTGGAAACAGTATGGATGTTCTTCAAAGACTAGGAATGGAACCATCATGTGACCCAGCTATACTACTGCTTGGTACTTATCCTAAAGTCAATATACTATAGTGATCCATACATACCCATATTTACAGCAGCACAATAGCTATCACCAGATGAATAGATAAAGAATATATATGCACAATAGAATTTTTTTTATACCAGGGATTAAATCTAGGGGCATTTAACCACTGAGATACTGAGGATGATCCCCAGCCTTTTTAAAATTTTTTATTTAAAGACAGGAACTCTCTAAGTAACTTAGGGTCTCATGAAGCACAATAGAATTTTATTCAGCTATAAAGAAGAATGAAAGTATGTCATTTATGGGAAATGAATGGAACTGGAGTAAATCATGCTAAGTGAAATAAGCCAAACTCAAAAAGTCAAGGGTCAAATGTTTTTTCTCATATGTGAAAAACATATGAGAAAGGTGCACATATATTGAGGTAGGGCAGGAATCTTATGAAAATAGAAGAGAGCCCATATGGCAGAGAAAAGGAATCATGGAGAAGTGGAGAGAAATGAGAAGTACTGAGAAATGACATTAACCAAACTATACCGTTCTATTATGTGCGTGTATAACTATGTAACCACAAATCCCACTACTATGTTTAATTATTATGCAACAATAAAAAGGAAATAAATCCTTTTTTTTCTTTTTGTGGTCTGGAGATCAAACTTGGCTATGTAGTCTACTATTAAGGTACACGCCAACCCCAAAACAGTTGAATAGGCCCCATGTTTTCATTTTGTACTGAGTCAGGTTTTCAGAAAACTTGAATGGAACCACCATATGACTTGGCTATCTCACTCTTCAGTATAAATCCAAAAGATTTAAAATCAGCATACTTCAGTGATGCAGCCACATCAATGTTTATAGCAGCTCAATTCACAACAGCCAAGTTATGGAGTCAACGTAGGTGTCCTTCAACAGATGAATGGATAAAGAAAATGTGGTATATTCACATGATGGAGTATTACTCAGCCATGAAGAAGAATGACTTTACAGCATTTCCTGGTAAACAGACAGAACTGGAGCAATGGGAATACTCAGCAGAAAACATACATTATTGTGATACCTATCATGACAATGAGCTATACTACAAGAGAGGTCACACCTTTTTAAAATCTCCTGTCAAAGACATTGTGCATTTGGCTTTTTAAAAATTCAATTAATGTAATCTCAGAAACTTGGGAGGCTGAGGCAGAGGATCGCAAATTCAAAGCCAGTCTCTTAACAAAGCCCTGAACAACTTAGCAAGACCCTGTCTCAAAATAAAAAATAAAAAACAGGCTGGGAATGTGGATCAGTGGTTAATCACCCCTGGGTTCAATCTCTGGTACAAAAAAAAAAAAATTAATGACACTAATTTTAAATGCTTTTTATTGTACTCACATTTTATCTTAGATGTGAAACCAATAAGTTAATTTGAAAATCTATATTAATATCCTAAATCTGGCACATAATACTGCTTGTTAGATGAAATATAAATAATCATTAGGATAATATTTGATACATGGCATAAGATAATATCTTGTGTTTTAAATTAGAGTCTATGTACACCTAAAAAATTCTTAGGTTAAGCTATACTGACACAACCACTACTCTATTTTTTCAGAAGAACTTTCTAAATCTGTTTGATATTTTCCTTAAAGTCAGCATTAGCAGAAACAAAAACCTACCTCCACTGATGACAGATGCTGAAAGGTTTTGATCACTTAAATTCTCTGCTAACATCCAAGCTGGAAGAACTCTTTTCCTCTGGGCAGGGTTTGACTGTTGCTTACTGAAGTCTCTACATTCACCTAGGAAAGACTAAAAAGACACCTATTCCATTAACCCCTAAAGACAATCACGCATCATTAAGAGTTTGTAAAATTATTTACTTTGCAAAAACACTACCATAAAAATATTCATCTACAACTGTGGTTTGCATTAAATTTCTTCCAGAAATTCATCATATCTATCAGTAGAAATGTCATTATAGTGTGACATTCTCTAAAGCTTAATATAACAGCAAAACAAATCAATGCTAGCAAGACTGTTAGAATAAGCCTAATTTTAGTTGTCTTTTGTCTCCTCAAAATAACTTAAAGAACATATTATGAGTGATGCTATTTGAAATTTCTTACCACACTATTAGTGGTAGTAGTCTGGGTCTTGGCTAGTTCTGTGCTTCTTTCTAGCTGTGAGGTGCCAGTTGTCTTATCAGGCAAACTAGTCACAGGAGATTTTGGTGCTTCATTCAATATATTATCTTCCTCAAGCATTTGGCTATTTCTATAAAATAAAATAGAAATTTGTTTATTAATCATTTAAAACACTTCTGCCAGAGACCATGTCATTGTTGTGCTCCTTTTCTCAAATTTAGCAAAAATTAAAAAAAAAGATTATAATATAATAGAATAAAATACATAGAATATGTTCTTTATCTTCTGCCATCCATATTGCCATGAAATAAATCATTCTTTCCAAATCATGGGCCTTAAAACCATAGTGATTTATGAAATGTGTGCCAATCATCTCTCTCCAGGCTTAAGAGCTATTTATTTATTCTTTGTATTTTCCCAGATAAAAGTTAAGATCACCACCCTGTATCTACAGAGATAATGTAAACTTTAAGACCATCATCTAAGCTAGATAGGTTCCTAGAAAAATAATTAATAAAATCTTGAATTTGGGTTTACACAACTGCTACCAGAATTCTGGCCAGTATCACCACCTGTGAAATCTCCTCAAACTTATAGTACAACTAGAAGCTAAATGTCCTTACACAGGCGTACCCACAGTCACATGGGGAACATACTCACTGAACTACTTAATTCATATTCTCTGCAAAGTGTATTAGGATCATCCACAGTTGTTGAGTTATTATTTAAAAAGCATATTGTATGCTTCAATTTAAAGGATATCATAAAATAAAGCTACATGTACAGAAATCATATCAGCAGTTGACAGGGACTGGAGGTAGAGTGAAGGGACTAACAAGAAGCAAAATGGACCTTTTGGGAGAACAAGAGTGTTATCTTTTTGCAGTGGTACTTAACATGACTATATATATTTGCCAAAGTGCACTGAATTGTACATTTTAAAAGAGTCGATTCTGCATGTAAACTATGCACCAATAAATGTGAACTCCAAAAAAATGAAGATGGAAGATTTTATAAATGTGTCTAGCTGAGAAGAATCCAATTAATAATTGGCTTGTTTTGTTTGTTTTAGTATTTCTTAAGCAAAGAATAATCTTTAAAAGCAGACTTGCTTTTTTTTTTGGTACCAGGGATGATTGAATCCAGGGGAACTTAACACTGAGTAACATCACATCCACAGCCCTTTTTTTTTTTTTTTAATTTTTTATTTTGAGACAGGGCCTCACTAATTTGCTGAGGCTGGCTTTGAACTTGTGATCCTCCTGCTCAGCCTCCCGAGTTGCTGGGATTACAGGCATGCACCACTGTACCTGGACAGGAATCATATTCAATGGCAGAAACAATATTCTACTCTATGAATATTCTGCATTTGAAATCAATTCAACAGCTGATAGACATATGGGTTTTTACCCACTTTTTGATTATTATGCATAATGTTGCTATGAACATCCATGTAAAGTCTTTGAATAGACTTGTTTTCAATTCTTTTAGTTACAAACCTAGAACAGGTTATTCTGTGTTTAAAATGCTGACGAACTATCAAAAATATGTTCCAAGGAAGATGTACCATTTTGCAATCCCATCACAATATATGAGTTCCTAGTTTTTCCACATTCTTAACATTTGTTAATATCTTTTTGAGTAAGGCCTTCCTAGTAGATATGAAGTAGTATCTCACTGTGGTTTTAATTGAATTACCCTATAACTCATGATATTGAACATCTTTTCATGTTCTTATTTAAAAATATTGTTCAAATCAGATATGCATTTTTATATTGGGTTGTCTTTGTGTTGTTGAATTATAAAAAAATTAGCTATTCTGAGTATAAATAAATTGTGAGACATGATTTACAGTTATTTCCTCTCATTCGTTTGGTGCCTTTTTACTTTCTTGATGGTGTCCTTAGAAACAGAAGTTTTTAAATATGATGAAGTCCAATTATCTACTTTTTCCTTACAAGCTTGTGCTTTTTGGTATTATATCTAAGACGCCAAGGCTGCAAAGATTTATATCTATGTTTTTCCTAGGACTTATATAGTGTTAGCTCTTGTATTTAGGTCATAGTGTATCATTCTTTTTACTTATTTCTGGATTTGGTTTGTAAATATTTTGTTATAAGAAATGTTGGTCTTTAGTTCTTGCTTTATTTCTTTGTAAAGTCTTGTTTGATTTTGGTATGAGAATTAGGGAAGCTCCAAAAAGCAAGTTAGGAAGTGTGTAATCTATTTTGGGGGAAAAAAAAAAAAGATGTAATAGTGTCATTGTTTCTGCCTTGTAAGTTTCACAGGATTTGCTAGTGATATTCCTTGTGGGAAATCCTTAAATTAACAATTCAATTTTTTTAATGGTCTAGGATTTATCAGAATTTTTTTCCTTCCTGTATCCATTTTGGTAAGTTTTATTTTTCAAGAAATATATCAATTCATTTAAATGGCCAAGTTTATTGACATAGTTTTGAATATTTCTTTGCTTTTCTTTTAAGGTCTGCAGTATTAATAATGATACTCTTCTATTCCTGATATGGATAATTTGGGTTTTCTCACTTAATAAGCCCTACTAAGAGTTTACCAATTTTATTAATTTTTTAAATAACTCACTTATGATTTTGGTGGTCTTCTTTTTGTCTATTTTCTATTGCATTGACTTTCAATCTTGTATAGTTCACTTTTTTTTTCCTACTTACTTTGGGATTAATTTGCTCCTTCTATCTTTTTAAAGTATAAGTTTTATATCTTTCTTGTCCAAGAACTAAACTGCATCTCACAAGTTTTTATACTGTTTCCAGTTATCACTGTTCAAAATGTTTTACGATTTCCTTTGTGACTTATTTCTTTGATCAGGAATTATTTAGAAATAAGCAAATTTTAAAATATGTGAAGATTTTTATATATCTTATTGTTATTGATTTCTGAGTTAAGATTGCAATTAAAGAATATACTCTGTATAATTTTGTTCATTTACTTCTACAGGTCTAAGTTTAGCTTATAAAGTTTAGCTTATAGAAGCTAAAATAAAATCAAATAATCTTCCAATGACTGGCTCAAAAACACTAGTGTTTGAATTTTAACTTTATACCAGATTATCAGTATGTTTATTCTAATACCTCATTTCCCTATTCTGTATTTTCTGTTATTTTTATAAAAACAGATACAACTATGTCTAAAAGGTTAACACCTTAATAAACTTTAGAAAGCTAAAAAAACGAGGAAAATATAGTCAATTTCAAATTAACTATCCTGGTTACTACTGAATGGAAAATACATTCTGATTATAAAGGTGAAAGATACCACATATGGGATTAATCATTATTGAGGCATAATGAGTTCCTCAGTTTCTAAAGTCAAATATTTTCTAGAAATGCACATGCATACACACACACACACACACATACACACACAAAATTATGTAGCTACTATAGCTCTAAATCAGAGCATAGAATGGCTTCTGCAATAACTGAGAATTACAACTATTATTACTAACTCTCATTTCACCATGCAGTCTTACCGCAATGTGCATTCCATGTCTGTTTCCGATTGTGTAGCAAAAACACGAAAAATGTACTTGTCAACTAACAAAGAAAAACTATCTCCAGGATTCAACCAGCGCCATAGATTTGTCTTCATTGGTAAGGGTTGGCTTTTCTCAGAAGACTGATAAAAACATGGATTTGTGTGTATCTATCAAAGAAAAAAAGAATACAGAGATTTTGTAACTTGAAACTACAATAGAAATACAACTAAATATGAAGTGACCGAGAATTTTGGTATCAAAACAACTTCATATCAATTTATACTTAAAAGTTTAAAAAACTTGGCTCTCATAAGTTCCATGATAATTACTTTTACATAAGTAAGAAAAAGACTACCTCCCACTACTCCACAAATCAAATAAAAAAGGAAAGTTATGAATTAACTGATTAAAAACATCTTCTGTTTTTCTTAGCAGAGACAATTGGACATTGGGACAAGAAACATGAACATCTTAATTCAATTTAGAAATGAGAAACTATGCAAAGGGAAATTTTTATCAAATCTCTCAAGCAAGCAACACAGTTTTCTTTCTAGTTCCCTTGGAAAGGAATCTTATTTTGTTTGAATAAACTGTAATTATAAAGATTATCATCCATATTTAAGTCACAAGTAGTAAATATATCTCAGTTAAAACCATTACATAATCTACTATTTTAAATTATTTTTGCCACTGATTATCTCCATGTTAACAAAAATGAGACCTGACTCAACAACAACAAAAAATATGTTGAAAGGCACTTTTAAAATCTCAACTACAGTCAAGTTTAAATGGGCCATTTCCATAGATCAGATAGCTTTCTGTCAACAATTTCATTGGGTTTTTAAAATAAATAAGTTTTAGTGTTGGACAAAGCAATCTAAAGTAATACAGATCTTTGATTTTGACAGATTTTTATACAGAGTAACTTCATCAATTTAAATGAGACTTTTTCTGGAGACATCAACAATCTCCAGTAGAGAAAAGTAATTACCACCCTAGGATTGGACATATGCTGAAGAACAACAAAAATACACATATAACTGAAGTTAGATGAATATAATCTACCTAATTCTGACAACTGTTTTATGAGAATTTGGTCACATGCCATTCCTATGTATATCTGCTATTAGAAACATTTTTACCCTTTAAATCTGTGTTTAAAACAGTAAAATAAAACTTGGAGATAAAAGATAGAGGTAAAAAATTAAAACAGAGGCAATACCAATTTGGGAGGCCATTATTTTATTGAGTCACTCTTATTATAAGAGTCATTTTTACAAAAATGTACACAAGACTGCATAAGATGCACTGTATTTCATGCAACACTGTATTCCTAAAGAGTCAGAAGTGGCTGATTTGTTAAAAATCAAGATATAATTTAAACTTAATATTTAAGAACCTTTCACTATGTTAATACTCAGCCTAATTTCTGTTGAAGTGGTCCTCTGCCTCATGGCAGATAGAGTTTTGGGGTGTAACAAGCACAGGACACATTAGCAGTTTCTGAGCTTATACACACTGCTGGACTTGAGAATTATTCCCTGTATACTCCTCACCCTATTAAGTGAAGCTCCCTTTCCTTTAGTATACCATGGTCAGCAGGGTTAGCAACTCTAGGTTCATGAAAGAAGCAGGAGTCTGAGCAGGAATGTACATAGCTTCTGTTTGAAACCTGTGTCTTCTTTAAGTGAGCTTCTTTCTTATTATAGAGTAAACAACCATAATCTTAGTCATAACTATTATAAAAATTCAGATGAATCTCTAATAACATTAAATATTAACAAAGCCCTATGCATACAAAGAATAGGATATTAAATACAAAGGCATAAAGTTGTAGGAGTAGAAAAGGCAAAACACTTAAGAAAGGAAACTATATTTCTTTACAAAGTTATCACAAACCTGAAGACAAAGAAATATTAAGTTTGAATATATTCCTCAGCTAAAAGCATTTTATTTTTAAAATACAGGTAATTAACCATTAGGCAGTTAGTAAATCCCATGAAGAAAATGAACCAATGTTCTATGATCATCATTTCCTTTCTCTTAAACTAGAGATCCCAGAATTAAGAGGAAAAATGATATTCCAAGAAAGTATAATGTCTGATCCTTTAACTTAAACCTAAATCTATAATACTCACTGAGAGTCAGATAAAAAAAAAAATCTGTCAAACTATTTATAATCCAACAAAAATGGCATCAAACATGAAGTCCAAAAGGCAGTTTTTAAAAAGTTATAAAGTAGGCAAATATTTAACAATATTAATAACCAAACAGGAAAAAGACAAACACATACACACACAAAAAAAGCCTGGAATAAAAACAACGATATAAATACATATAAGACAAAACTTAAAATAATACTGTAAACACTTTATGCCAATAAATTAGTAAGGCTGAAGTTGAATCTTAAACTGACTAAAAATAATAAAAGTACATTTATGAGTATGCCTGAGTTATTTTAAAGTATTTCACTATGAAAGGAAAAGTAGATTGAATTGGATCTATAATATTTTAAAAACACAAAAATTAGGGTTGTGGATACAGATCAGAGATGAAGAACTTACCTAGCATGGGTGAGTTCATGGGTTTGACCACCAACACCACCAAAATTAAATAAAAATCTTGGGCTGGGGCTGGGAATCAGTGGTAGAGCACTCACCTAGCACATATGAGGCCCCAGGTTCGATCCTGAGAACCACATAAAAATAAATAATAATATAAAAGTATTGGGTCCAACTATAACTAAAAATAAATACCAAAGGGGAAAAAAAAAAGCTTTCCAACCCCTCCCAAAATCAGAACCAAGTAGATTTAAAGATTTCACTGAATTTTCAAATTCTTTCTGAAGCCCAAAGAGATGAATGGATCCCCAATTCCTTCAATAAGAAGAATTTAACTTTGATCCTAAAAGCAGACAAGGGCAGACAAAATATTAGCAAACCCAAGCCCACTGTGAATAAAATATACAAGTTATCTATATGAGAGACATATTGTTGGTGCATGCATTTTAGCATATCTGGGAAATTTTAAATGCAAATTTAAATAGATTATGCTATGACTTACGAAGTGCTACAAAGGATACATTAACCCTGTCGAAATGGAACTAAAATATAAATCAATTTTCTATAGCTTTATCTTGGAGTTATCATTAAATATTAAAGAAAGACTGCTCAAAAAAGAGGCTTTATTATTTTCAGTGCTTTTTTTCCCTTAAATTTTAATAATATGAATTAAGGAAAAGCTAGTATAGAATTTTACAAATATTTTACAGTATATTCAGAACTAGGGAGAAAAACAATCATGACTCAGGAATTTTGTGAAAGAAAAAACACAATCACCTAAAGGCATATGTTCTGAGGATCAACATCAAAAGGCCAAAAAAAAATGTAATTTATATACAGTTATAAAACTACTGCCTAAGCTATTCAAGAATCAAAATGAGTAAGATTTTATTAAAATTAAATAAAACACTGACAGCTATGAATTCACCCTGAAAATATAACCAACCACTGGTAATACAGTAATTTACAGAGAACACCATCAGTTTGCCTTTATAATGCATTTTCTCCCTGCTGATATTAGACAGCAGATTAAATTTAAATGACATAAAAAAGCTAATATCATCTCCTCATGAGCTAACATCATCTCATGCACTATTTCCAAGAACTGCTGGAAAGCCAAAAAAAAATTTTAAAGGAGAAATACCACAGGGGAAAAAAAAAGGAGAAATTCATCCAATTTAAAAGTTTGAACTAGTAATTGCCTTTATTGCATGCAACAGCATTGTCAAAACTATTTCTTATTTGGTAGAGGATTTGGATATTCAAATTAAAGGAAAGTAAAAATGCATTTTATCATTTAAACATACATTCATACAACATATAGAATGTATCATCATAATAAAAAATATTTGCTATATGCAGTTATACAATGTTTTTTCTTTTTTATTTTTTTAAATAAATGATAGTGGAATGCATCACAATTCTTGTTACACATATAGAGCACAATTTTTCATATCTCTGGTTGTATTTAAAGTATGGTCTCGTGTCTTCATACATGTACTTTGGATAATGATGTCCATCACATTCCATCATCCTTGCTAACTGCCTGTCCCCTTCCTTGCCCTCCCACCCCACTGCCCTATTTAGAGTTCATCTATTCCGCCCATGCTCCCCCTCCATACCCCACTATAAGTCAGTCACCTTATATCAGAGAAAACGTTCGGCATTTGGTTTTTTGGGATTGGCTAACTCCACTTAGCATTATCTTCTCCAATGCCATCCATTTACTTACAAATGCCGTGATTTTATTCTCTTTTATTGAGTAATATTCCATTGTGTATATATGCCATGTTCATCTACTGAAGGACATCTAGGTTGGTCCCACAGTTTAGCTATTATGAATTTACAAAGTTTTTTTTAATTGTTGATAGAGCCTTATTTTTGTTTATTTATTTATTTATATGAGGTGCTGAAAATTAAACCCAGTGCCTCACAGATGCCAGGCAAGTGCGCTACCGCTGAGCCACAGCCCCTGCCCCTACAAAGTTTTAACTAAAACTTCCTTCAACATTTTATTACAGTTGCATATATAATATGCCTTAGATGGTCAAAGTATTTATGACTGATTAGGGAACAGAGAATAAATAAGATATAACACATATAAGATATAACACAGATAAAATGAATAAAGGATTAGTGGCTTGTTAATCTTGTTTTCATTATTTGTAAGATCTTAAAACTTCTATTAACAATTAGTCAGTTTTAGACTTCCTGTAAATTTCTCTATATTGCACTTTGCAAGGTTAGCTATAAAAATAAACAATCTATTTCAAGGTGATATTTTACTGAAACCAAATTAATATTATATTAAGCATTACATACAACAAAGGATCTATAAGAACATTGCCAAAGCTAAATGCAAATTTCCTTCAAGTAAAATAAAGTGAATACAAAATTCTTGAAAAAAAAACCTCGAAATTTAATATTTTTTTCTAAAACAGCACTCAAATTCTAGTACTAAACTTGTACATTTCCTTAAAAATGAATATTTTTTTATGTCTTCCAATGTTTGGTAAGTTGGCATCACTATTCTTTATACTTTTATGTTATAAATGTTTATACTTTTATGTTATAAATGTTCCATAATAACTTTTTAAAGACATAAT